ATTGCGGACGATCTCTTGATCGGAAAAGCTTTTGGAATCATTTTTTTTTCTTCAAGGTCTATAATAATCACCTCACTTAGTCATACTATGAGCTATAACTTTAAGTGATAGTTGGTAGGCTGCAGAATGTCTTGCTTACTAACATCTAAAACTTTAGGTGAGTGTCGATCATCCTGTTCCAGTTTGGAGTGGACACCCTTAGCAATGCTCTATTTACTGGTCTCTCCATTGGTTTGAAGTCAAAACCTGGTAACAGGATTGAGCTTGTCATTAGTGGTTACTTGCATTATGTCAGTGGTATTAAATAGCAACTTACAAGGACCTGTGCATTGATATTCTCACTTAACAGAGTGACAGTAAGGAATGTGAGGTGCCATTTATTCTTTTGTCTTGATATTCCCTTTTCAGTGTTTAACAAACCTTGTCTGGTTTCTTACTGATATTTGGCCGCTGATTTTTTTTTGGCCAGTATCTTAGGCTGTTGATTGGCTGCTGTTTTATATTCGGATTCCTGATATTAATAGATAATGTTGATTGCTTATAATTATAATATACAGTTTTATGATTACACACTGCACATATTGTTGCATCTTTCAAGAAGTTTTAGTTCCAAAAGATTATGCATAAAAAAGAATGTTAAAGAAGTTTGGTAAAGAAAGGAAATTATTTTCTGATGTTTTGCATATGCTGTAAGGAGTAAGGATGGGCTGCATTTTTATCCCTGGCTTGTGAGCGATTTTCTAGTTATGATATTCCCTTACTTAAGGTTTTGTTTTTCTAATTTTTACAGATGTTACTTTCACCTGTGATTAGTGCTGAATCGTTGAAACATATTTGTTTTTCAGGCTCGTATTAAAAAGATTATGCAAGCTGATGAAGATGTTGGGAAGATTGCTTTAGCAGTGCCTGTTTTAGTTTGTGAGTGGATGTAACTGTCATGATTTTGCCTAAAAAATTTGTCCATGCATGTATATTACTTGCTCATGCTTCTTTTTTCTACCACACAGCTAAAGCATTGGAATTGTTTCTTCAAGACCTTTGTGATCGTACATATGAGATTACCCTTCAGAGAGGAGCAAAGACCATGAGCTCATTGCATCTGTAAGTGCAGAATTAATGTTATTCTTTGTGGCTAACAATGTGTGTTGTCTACTTGAGGACTTGATGTTACTTCTGAAAATTTATAAGTTTGTATACATATTATTGCTCTGTGACAATTAGTTTCAGTTTCTTGATTATGTGGTATGGGAGAAAAATGGGGTAGGGAGAGAAAAAGAAGAGAGTGTGAGAGGGAAAAACGAGAGTAAGACAAAGTGGAGGGAATACGGAGAGAGAAGGTAGATTCAATGCCTAAACTTCCAAAGTCTGTATGAAAGTAACAAGTTTAAGTAGTTATTTGCATCAAACCCTCATTCTCCTAAAATAGCAATTTCCGAACATTATCTGAGATTAAATCCTATAAAAACCCTACTCTTGGTTCATAATCACTATTTTGTTTTCATAACTTTTACTTTACAACTTGTAAGATGATTTTACTAAAAACTTCCTGTTTTAATTTAGTTTACAGGCAAATAACCACTTGGTAACTGCATTGGCTGAAGTGCTTCTTGTTTTTCTTTCTTTTTCCTTTCTGTTGATATAGAAGTGCTTTAGTAGACCAAGAACTTTTGTTCATTTTTATTTGTTTGTTTGTTTTTTCCCCTCTAAAAGTTGTAATTTATCAATAAGAGGAGAATTGCTGCAATATCATATGAAAAGAGAAGTAAAAGAAGAAACACACGGAAAACCCCAAACATCAGTATCAGTGCAAACTAATATAAAGTAAACTCAAGATGAGAATAGTAAGGTTCCAGCATGATCAACAGCATCCACTCATGTACTCATACAAGAGCTTTTGGGGGATTTAGGAGTTAGTGGAGGCATAGATAGCTTCTTAAAATGCTTTCTTCTTTGATTTCAGTGATAGAAAGTACTGTACAGAATTTGTTAAGAGATATTATCTTTTCTCTCAAATTTGATTGCTAAAAGATTTTTATTTTATGTTGTCTAGTCCAGATTCCATCCTTTGGGGTCACAAAAGTATGTGATACATATCCACTATGAAGATTTTTGCAGTAATAATTCTAGGGGAAAAAATCTCTTTTTTTTCTAGTTCCAGATCATGCTAAAATTTTCATTTAACAAGTTTTCTGATCAGCATGGTATCATATCATGTTGCTTCCCATCTTGCTTTTTGGTTTCCCTTCGAAATATGTATTGTACAATGTGAAGTGCACTGGTCTAACTAAAGTGTCCAACTAAACTGCAGAAAGCATTGTGTACAGAGCTATAATGTATTTGACTTTCTAAGGGATATTGTCAGCCGGGTTCCTGACTATGGTCATGGCCATTCTGATGCTGGTGCTGATGATCGAACTATTTCCAAGAGAAGGTTAGAGAAAGCCTGCCATATTTCTTGTTTCTCACTTTTTAATTCATAAGATTTACTTATTTGGTGATACTTTTCCATACCATTCTGCTAGGAAAGCTGCTGGAGATGAAGGGAATGACAGTGATGAAGAGTCAAAGAGGAGCAGAATGGTAAGATGGTTTCCTCGGTATATATATATATACATACAAGATTATGGAACATAGGATGAGCTTGTGTGCAACTTTAAATGAATGATGCTAATTGGTTTTCTTCAGTGACAGAAAGGGTATGCAGTTTAAAAAATAATTGGTGAACTTCAGTGCATTATGCTAGATGCTTTTGCATATAAGGACTTCTGGGTTGGTTCTCTGCAATGCATGTTATTTTAGATGTATGTAAATTTTAAAATGACAGGCCTCAAAGATGTATTCAAAAGTGAAAATTGAATTAGTCATTTGTTTAATTTGTCACTCAAATGTGGACATAATCAGGAGCATGTTAATTTTGTGTGTGTGAATTTGTGTACTTTAAGAGTAACTGGCTTCTCTTACATGTATTCTATGAAGCATGATGTGGGTCATGTGGGCACCAGTGGCAGAGGGAGAGGCCGGGGACGAGGAAGGGGCCGTGGAAGAGGAGCTCGAAATGTGGAAAGAGATTCTCATCGTGAATTAGAACCAGAACCCTGCCCAACTCTTCAGCACTGCAACAAAAGTCTTTCAACCCCTGGAATGGTGATAGATGACGGTTCTGAGTCAAAGGAACTGATGAAAGAGAGCACAATTGGTGAAGATGCCAATCAAGCTGTGACGGAATTTTGATTTGAATGCTGAGGTAGATGAGAATGTGGATACGAAGGCCTCAGCAGGTGCCTCTACTGCTGCTGCAACAACAGCAGCAGCAACAGCAGTGGCAGCAGCTCAGCCTTCATCAGCAGAGCCTACAACAGAAACTAAACATGAAGAATACCCAGGCTGGTCTCTTTCAGAAATGGACAAGATGGCCATTGATCCTCTTCAACTTGCTCAGCTTGGCAGAAGGTTAGATGAGGATGAAGAAGATTATGATGAGGAAGGATAAGTAGTTATGGAGCTGGACATCTAGAAAAAATTAGTGGTTGAGATCAGATTAGCACCTCAGTACAAAAGTTGAGAAATGGCAAAATAGCCAAAGATGACCTCATTGGAGAATGGAAGTACATCCTATGTAGGTCTCAAGGCTCAAATGCATCTCTCTCTCTCTCTCTCTCTCTTCTCCTCTCTCTCTCTCAGAGTTTATCCTTGTCAATGTTCACTTTCTGTTATACCATTTGCTAACATAACTTAAAAAGGTAGCTTCTCACAATGACAAGACACTAGTTTGGGATGTGCTTGTTACTCAATGAGAAAATATGGCGTCCATAGTGTAACAGAATTGCCCTTAGAAAATCTGTGTTAACTATGATCTTTTTCTCTTTTTGTTTTGATTAGCGTATTAACTTTCGTTCATGATTGTCAAATTTAGCAGTATTGATCATATCTTTAATTGCTTTAACATCAGTTACTGTGTTAGTATTGTCTGCTTTCTTAGACCGTTCTTTGAACTTGAGCTGTCATTTGCACTTGCCAAGTTAAGCAATGGGAAGATTAACGGTTGCCAGCCATAGTGCAGAAAAGAAGAATTTCCTCCCCAGTGCCAGGAACTGAAACTGGTAGTCATTGTGTCTTCTGGGTATGTATTCAAAGTGTGGATGCATTGCAGGCTTCTTTTATGCGTGTCAATTGTCACAACCATGCTCCTTGAACGTGATTCTTGCCCTTGTAAGGTCAGGTTTTATGGCACTAAGCATCAAATCGCATATGCATTTATAAGTACAAAGTACATATGCATATATAAGTACAAAGTACAGCGCTGTTTAGGACTCTTCATAGTTTAGCAGCTTGGACTAAGAGGGAAGGTGGCTTTCTTTGACTCTGGTTTTGGTGGCCCACAGTGTTTGTGGTTGCCCTGAAATGGCATAAGATTGATAAGTGGCTGAAATGCCCTTCGCATCGTGAACAGTTCCCTGCTGGCTGTGGGAATTCATACCCGGTAGTTGCGGATAGCCTGTGTAGATGTTTCAAGTTTCTGCTGCGTTTGCAAAGTTGAAATTCTTAGTTCCAACCGTACGGGGTTCTTTGTCCTCAAAGAGGATAATATAAATATTCGATTTAAAAAAAGAAATAAATTTCAAAAATAAAGAGCAACACTATTTTGCAGGTTGCTCATCGATTTTAAAAGCCAAAGCCTTGACCCTAACCTTAAATTGATAAAGAGATGTCAGTACCTTCAACGCAACTCTAACTTATATATTGATATATGAGGTAATATTACATTGCCTCCATTACACAACCATCCATGCAGAAGTTCATGGTCCTTGGGCTAAAACAAGGACTCCCTTTCTCCTCAGCTCAACATACCCTCTTTAACTCTGCTGAAATCTCTCTTTATATCAGCACCTTGATTTGCAATTTCATGCAAATCATATCTTGGGGGAGTTTCAAAGACCTCTTAACTTATATTTGATGAATAAACATAATCCATGGCACTATTAAATTGCAAAGAGAAGCTATTTGTAAAGCAATATTGCATTGACAAAAGCACTGCACTTCAGGAGGTTAACACATAAACGGGAGACATAACATTCTTATAAAGACAGGTTTTCCAGCAGCAGGAGTAAGATCAGTACATGATGCAAGGTTCCAACCATATTTTCATAATATAGGATAATATTAGGTTCAACCTCTAACAATATACAGTAACATTAGCTTCAAGAGTGATCTGGCTCCATGTGATTCAGATGGAAAGTCCCTTCGCTCTTATGGTGTACCTCCACCTTGAACTTCTCTTCCTTGTCTCCTCTCTTGACCTTGAGAAGCATGTAGAGTTTGGCAAAGTCTTCTAGTACCTGTTGCAAGTTCAAACAATAGCAACTCAAAAGAAAAAGAGATCATTTTTGCTTTTACTAATCCCACCTTGCCGCAAGCATAGAGATTCAAATTGTTGTTGAACCATATGTCAGGATGAATCTAGTTCCTAGTCCAATGCAATCCTAAACACCTTGATAGGTGAATAAAACTTTCAAGGCAGAATCTAAAGTTTTGCTGTACAAAGAGGAGACAAACAGAGGCTGGAGTTGAGGAGATGGAGAATGAAGTGACAAACTGAAGGCTATTCTTGACAAACCTTGCAGAAAGTAAAAGCATCGAGAATGAAGATAACATGGATGGTTATGACACATTTTCAATGAAACATCCGAGTAATAAGCATACAAGTACATAAAAGAAGGGATAAATTAAGTTCAGATGAGCAGTCTAAACAATGCCTGTCAAACCCATTTCCAAGTGATGAATAGTATAGAGTAAGGAGTGATCTTAGTTCCACAAGAAACTCAGACACCACATTAAACAAGATCTTAGTTCAATACCAACAAGGCACACATGTACTCACCTAACAATTATAACAGAACATTTGAACATGGAAAAGATGTGAGAAAATAGGAGAAGCTTTAGACTGCTTACCTCAGCCTTGGCATGAACTATTTCTTTAAGTTCATAAGGCACCAGGGAATTGGATCTCTGCTGGATGGTCTTGACAGCATGATTCGCAGCATCCTGAACTACAGGATCATGTGTCGGCAAGGCTTGCAATCCAGGGCCTTTCACATCTAATTTAACAGCAAAACATTGACATAAGTTTGATATGAAACAAAATATACAAAAAAAAAAAAACCTTCATTTTCTTACAAAATTGTTAGATCAGTATGAATGAACCACCTTTCTTGACACCGAGATCAGAAGCAGTAAAAGATGGGGAAACATCAGCATCACCAGCATGCTTAAACTCCTGCAATTCCTTAAAATTCATCCAAGGCTTGACCCACACTTTGGCCTCATAAAGCTTCTTCTTGCCGGCATCAATAGCTTCCACCGTCAAATGATGGAGCGTCCCAGAAACCACTTGCTCGGTTGCCTTCACCACCCTCACAAACTCCACCATCGCGTTCTCTTTCTTGTTGTGCTCATCGACGGCGAAGCGAGCGAGGCTTTCGAGCTCGGCGCTGTTCTGGGAACCACGGGAAGGGTGGACTCCGCCCAAAGTGGTGGCCATTGGTTCAGAGCAGAGGATTGATTCAGCAGAAAACTTGTCAAAGAAGAGAAATTGGATTGCTACGGAGAAGAAGGAGAAGAGTAGGAAATTGGGTTTTCGCATTTGGGTTTATCGAGAAATCGATTCGGCTAAATCTGAAACAATTTGGGTAGTCATTTGGATCAAATGATCAGAGTCTTAGCCCTTCCGCTTTTGCTTAGAGGCTGAGGGAAGAATGAAGTACTAGCCACGTGTCACTTGAATAAAATACCTTCGCTTAATATGTAATCAAATTGCTTAATGTGGACCCACCCATACATGACATTGCCATGGAATTTTTGTGCCTATGCGTGAAAATTTGGAGTTGAAAAAGGATGCACCCGGTCGGTTTGATCCGTTAGATATTAAATTTTAGGGTAAAATATTTTTATTTTTTAAAATTTTAATCATAATTTTATATTCATCTATTAATATTTAAAATAAACAATCCATCCCTAATATATAAACGGTAATAATCGGTCAATATAAAATATTTAAAATATCTTTTTCATTCGTTCACTCTATTTTAATATTTTTTTCCTTTCAGATCAATCGACGTTTTATTACACTAATCAATACCATATCCGCACTCTCCTTTAAAGAGCATGAGACTCACGTTTCCCGTTGGAACATCTACAAGAGATCTGGTGCTCTTTGGTTAGATCCAATCATAAGGTGGCCTGCATGTAAGAGGATTTTTTTTTTAATAAAAGAGAAAAAAATTTAAAAATAGAAAATGATAATTTATATAGTGTGATAATTTGTAAAATTAATTAAAAATAAAATTATTCGAGAAATATTATCACATTATCAAACTAATAAAAATATTAATAGTTGATTGATGGATAGATTTATATATCTAATGTAAGATATTTTTTTAAGGTAGACGATTTATTTCGAATATTAATAGACACTTGCGTGAAATTATGATTAAAATTTTAATAAATAAAAAAAATTAAATTTATTATATTTACTAGAATTGATTGAAAATCAAACTAGAGGAAATATTTTCTAATATTTTATCAAATTTTAAAATAATATATAATTATAAATTTTAACAATTTAATAATATTTTAAATTTTATATATATTCATGGTATAATATAAAAACTAAAAAAATATATTAATATATAATAATTTAAATTTTTATTAGTTCAAATTCGATAGTTGAGTCTGCTCGATGGAAATTTTAATTATCAAAAATCGAATCGAATTGATCAAAATAATTGAACACTCAAAAAACCATTCTACTTGAAAACCAAACTTTATTTCAATTGATTGGATTTGAAATGATTTAGTATTGAAAATTACCATGCTAAGCATCTGTTTGTATATTAAAGCAAGACAATAAAATTAACAAATTATATACTCCTGACATTATGTCACAATTTTTATTTTTTATTTTTTCAGCATCATAATTTTTAATTTTTGTATTTTGTGATGTCAAAGTTTTATAATAAACTAATTTCCTCAAATTAAATGAATTTTACAATTTTAATTGGTAATATGTATAGAAATGAAAAAATCGATGACTTGATTTAACTAAATATAACTTCAATCGACTAAAAGTAATATTTCAAAAAAATTTGATGGTAAAAATGCTCCCTATCTCTTATAGGAATTTTACCTGTAAAGGAAATTATCTCAATCCTAATATTTCTTGTGGGATCCTACATTAGTGAAAAGTTGAATAACCTCTTCGGAGATCCGACATCTTATAAAGTTGAGTAAACTCTAATACTACTTTCATAAACTCATACATACAACTAAAAAGACATGCCTATTAAATTAAAAAAACTCTATTTCATGTCTTGTTGATGTGAGATCCGCGACAAGCGCCATTTCTCATATAAGTTCAAGATAACATGTTTATATATGCATCAGAAAAGTCATAGTCACAAAGTATAATTTTATATCATACTAACAAGTTTTGAAATTCTTATACAATATTCATTGAGTAAACATAATACAACACAGACTCCCTTAAAGGAGGAAAAACAGAAAAAGAAAATAGTTTTATGGAGGACAATGATAAGAAGTTAAAGACCCAGCAGTCCAAAGATGGGGAAGACATGAATATAAGTTCCACTGCAAACATGGGCTCAGAGTGCTTCAAAAACAAATACTAAAAAGCTTGGCATCAAATACAGCACTTTGAGCTACTTACAAGCCAGGGAGGAGAAAAAAAAAAACATGAGTTTATGAAATATGCTCATGTAACATCATCCTCCCATCCACAGATAGAGCAGTAAAAAGGGCTTCTCCAACAATTCCGGAGGAAAAACAAGACGAGATGCCTTCTCCATCAAAAAGCTGGGCAATGAAAACATAATCGAAATACTAGCAACATTAGGATGACATCGTGTATATTTCTTCAGACTTTCAGTTATTCCTTATCGAAAAAGCTATTTCTGGACTTGGAAAATTTTGAAAAATACTGTCATTTGTCATTGGTTTTGAGTTTGTCTTTGATCCTGGCTGAAGCCTCACCTGTTATGTTGATTCAAACAATACAATCAAATCTCAACATTCGGCACAGCAAAAATCAGAACTTCATGGAAAGAAAACATAATCAAAGCTCTCTCTGCTATGCCCACAAACATTAAATCCATGCCTCTATTATCTAGCATTGGCAAATAATGACCTTTTCCTTCAACCTGATGGTAACTTCATAAGAAGATTGATTGTAGCAGTAAGTTGAAAGAAGCTGTACAAATTACCAAGAAGTTATTCATAGGACAAACCTCATATTGTTCAAGCAACGATGCAAACAATCTTGCAATTCCTTGAATGACAAACTTCTGGCAAACGCAGGCACGTGTACCAGAACCGAAGGGAAGAAAAGCTGGATTCTTATTTGGATCGTTCAAAACAAATGAACTCTGTCCTTGGTCCAAAAGTTCAACAGGTCCTGAGCCCAAGAAAACAATTAGAAGAGACTAATATGACATGATAATCATCATACATTTCCCAGCTCAGTACTCTAGGGACTGAATGGTGAGACACAACTGAATGCACACAATATCCAAAGAAGGTTAAAACCCACATCCAGAAGCAAAACACCCACATGATCGTGACACATAGAGTATCCATTGGCAGCAGGTACAATCAACCCAACTAAGCTACATGGACAACAAGAAGTCACTTGCAATTGTGCAAAAGGTGTATTAATATGCTAAACTGCATAACACAAAAACCTAAGTGCATGACGCAGATAAATAAAAATGACAATGTCACATAGCTTAGTACTGAATTGGTAAGTAAAAAGTAGCACAACTCTGAATTAATAGATAGTTGGAAAAGTAGAGAGTAGAACCTGCAATGGATATATCCTTGTTCAGTGAACCGGATATCTTTGCAGTAGTTGACAGAAAACGATATGGATTAAATTTAGCAGCATCATTTCCCCAACTAGAATCATCCATCTGCACCAACTGTACAGGTACAACAAGTATTGCTCCAGTGGGTATAATTACACCAGACTTAAGCCTCAAATCTTCAAAACATAAAGAGAGGGAAAATTCAGTATCAGTAAACATAAAAGCAGTGTCATAATTAGTAATTACAATCACAACCAGTATCAAAAGCACAGTATCCAAATCATGCAACAAAAACTTATATAGAACTCGGGCTCTAAGCCTCAAAAGCATAATTCAATTCGATATAAGATATATAAACACTTTCAATTTTATCAAAAGAAAGTCCAATGCCATATGCCATTTTTAAAAATATAAACTAGGTCAAGTAGGCCATGTAAAATCGAAATAAGAAACAATAGCAAATAGGGGTGTATGCATGTCAAACCTATTGATGAGCTACTTGGGCTTTTCACTGTCAAGTCAAGCTCAAGGTTGAATAGCTCAAGTTGTCAAGCGAGCCAAGTTCAAGTTTATCAATAAATGACTTGAGTAGCTCACATGCCTACTCAAACTTTTGACCTTTTTTTTCCCTTTAAATGTGGTTTATGCATTAGATGCATTTATATAGACCAAAAAAGGTAAAACTCGAGGTTGATATAAGCTTGATAATAGTCAAGCCCAATCTAATAGAGTTCAAATACCTTGATCACTTTGCCTAATTGAGCTCAAACTTGAAACTGAAGCTTGGTTGAGCTAAAGCCAAGCTTCACGCCTCAAGCCCTGTAATCAAGTCAAGCTTGAGCATTTTACTATGTCAACTTGACTCGATTACACCTGATACTAGAAAGGTGATTAGTAGGAGCTGTAAAAAACGTTAATAACCAATATAACAAAATAACTTGCTTCCATATTTATAAAAACATAAAACCACAATGCACATTCATATCCCCAAATTTCAAAGATACAGGCTAAAGCAGTAATCCCTTCCCGAATTTAAGAATGACAACTTGCATGATACAGCTTATATTTTACAGATTCTGAGCAATTATTTTCCAACAAGATCCTCTGTTTCTGGTAGGAAAAGAAAAGAACAAAAATTTAGGATCACTTGAGTCCACACAGATAAAACACTGATCAAGTAAAACACTTGAAAGCAAATGACAATTTTCAAAGTAAAACCACATAAACATAATTCTAGTAGATTGTTTAAAACAAAATTGATGCAGGAGGATCACAAGTATTGAAACCTTAAATCCTGGCAAAGCTAATTCGATATACCATCTAAGATGATACAGCAGTAGTGGAAGAAGAATGGACAGAAAAATGCCAAATAATGGCTGAATGATTATTGAAAATAAAGACCTCATGACGCTAAAAAAATCTGATGAAAGATGTATTATGGTACAAGCACTATATATAGCTTGAATATCTTTCATAACTAACAAGCAATTCAGATGCTAAAAAAATGTCACAAAATTAACGTGGATTCCAGACATTGAACAGTACAAATATGTATATAAATTTGAGGTTTTGATGTGAAATCCAGAATAGTTAGGTATTGAAAATACTTATTGCAAGTTCCATACCCATCTCCAAGGTAATTTTCAAATACTGATCAAGGAAGATTAGAAAAAGTATATCTAAATGATTGCCAATTTTAACCTCCAAAAAAGCAATGTATACCATGTTTTAGAGAACATCTCTGTAGCAAAGGCCCAGCTGGCATAAGACGAGCAGACTCATACACAGTTGCCAACAATAAAGGCATCTTCTCTGCATTAGGTTGATCTATCTCCCCTGAACCTTTCTGTGCCATAATTATCTCTGAGTAAATCTGCAGACATTCAATGTCAAAGAC